ATCTTCTTTGTTAGAATTGAAAAAATCTACAAATCATAGGTCATATTGCTAGAATCGAATCCTAAAATTTCCTCAATTTGACTAATTCCGCAAGTCTATCGGACGGAAGCCCTTTCTTATGCTTCACAAATGGCGACAGCACTTTCAGAAGTGGGAGGCAGCATTCCAGCCTTTCTGCCAACCCTAGTCCGTTTTCTATTTAGGTTTTAGTAAAAAAAATGTTACAATATTTGGTTAGTCCTTTCACTCTTGATTCCTTTATAGTTAAACCTCTTAATTCCCTCTCCTTACATTTAAATCCTTTAAGGGCTTAAATAAAATTATTTAAAAGTAATAAAATAAAATAAAATAAATACCGGATACTACAGAAGTTCAATCTCTAAATCTCTCCTCTCTTCCTTCCCTTCCAGGACCCAAAAAAAAAAAGCACAGCTTTGACAATAGGAGTCTTTGTTTCATCCGCTCTTCTTGTTTTATCCACCATATTCATCGTTATTTACCTAATTATAAAGAAAATCAAGGACAGAGAAGTGATTGAAGATTGGGAGCTCGAGATTGGACCCCAGAGATACCTATATCATGAGCTCAAGAAAGCAACAAATAATTTCAACGAGAAGATGCTACTCGGCCATCGCGGCTTTGGTCAAGTTTTCAAAGGAACACTAAAGGATTCAAAGTTGGAGATTGCCGTCAAGTGAATCTCCCACGAATCAAATCAGGGGTTACCTGAATTCGTGTTGGAAATTGCAAGTATTGGCTAGCTTCATCACTGGAACTTGGTTAAGTTGTTGGGATGGTGCAGTTCCCGCTGGTTTATTCAGAAGGTGGGAGAGGTGGAAATTGGTGTCAGGTCATTAATTAGGTGTGGTGTTTTTTACACGTAAACTTGTGAAAAATTAAAAGAGGTAATCGGTGGAGAGTTAATGTATCAGGTATGCAGTTCCATGATGGAAGGATCATTTGGTTATGGAAAAATAAAGTTAAAGAATAATTTGAGTACTTTATGAAATTAAAGAATGAATTAAGTTTAAAAATAAAGTTTAAGGACAAAATTGAGTATTAAACCAAAGGAAATTAGGCAGCCCCTCCCTACTACTTATGAAAGAAAGTAAAAAAAGAAGGCCGCCACCGGGCTGCTACCAACTCACGGGCTGGGTTCAGAGGCTTGGCGCTGGCTCTAGATTGTACGGTCGGAAGTAGGAATAAGCACATTGAGATACATATATATTTTTTCAAATAAATTATAATTATTTATAATTATTAATTAAGAAATACAAAAAAAAATTTCGTAAAGTTTGAATACATAACTCATAATAGATAAACAATCTTAATTCAAAGTTTATGTAATTAGGATGAAACGGGTCGTTCACTAATTTAGATACATATCAAATAAGGATTATATTTGATATTTAATTTAAAAAATTTTAGGTATAATTTTCTAAACTTACCATTACTTAAATATTTGAAGATTTATATTTGATATTTAATTCAATAGTTATTAGATAAGTTACAGTATATACGCATATATTTGGTTTAAAGAAAAAAATTTAATA